TGTTCGTTTTAAAATGCATAGCTCAGACAGAATCATGATTTCTATTTATTTTCCACTGATTTACTGATGAGCATTAGCAGCTTCCAGCGCTGTCTGCTTGTGTTCTCTCTTCCATGATCGCTGCTCTGACTCAGAGGTAATAACATATTTAATTTCAGCAACATTACATGGCCAAAACACACATTAGACGGCAATCAGAAGTTATTACAAACACTCGATGGTGGTTTAAAGTGAGTTTTGAGTAAAAGCGGAATATAAATCTTATTTATTGTCTTATGTAGCATGATGCTACAGTGTGCATGAATGGTCACATAACACGCGCTTTCGGTCTTGTAGTATGAACGGACATCTTCATATGATTGAAACTCTACACAGCTCCCGCGCTACTCTCCATTGGAAATTAATGACCGGTCTGTCGCTTGTCGGAGATAGTGGAAAGCCGGCTTGAAACGCAGTGGAAACGCCAGTATGACGAGGATCGTTTTCATTTTAAAACATAAACGCACCAGTGTAAATGTAGCCTTACATCTAAGGGGGCTGGGACGCATTCACACTACAGCCTCACGTGTGCGTCACTCTCTGGGTGTGTTCGACTTGATGCGGACCGACTGTGCAGACCGATCGGTGTATTACAGTACCACGAGAGCTATAGAGAGCAGACTGCTCCGTACGCTTTCGAATCGCTCTCGCAGATGTTAAACACTGATCGGTCTGCGCCGTGCCGCTTCTAGTCAAACACGCCTAGTGCTGCAGGCTTATTGGCTCTCTGACGTTGATGAGATTAACCCCTTAGGTATCGAAATTTGGTACCGAACGACGAGACGTTTTTTGATACTCGATGGTATCGAGGCAATTCGGTCGGTGCCTAAAAAGTATCGAACTCTATACCCAGCCCTACTCTTGTATGTCAACAAAATGCGGTAACACTTTATTTTAAGGTGTCCTTGTTACACAGGTTACATGTACTTATTATTAAAATAACTATAAATTATGCATAATTACATGCAAGTAACCCTAAGCCAAACCCTAATCCTAACCCTAACCATATAGTAAGTACATGTAGTTAATTGATTTTACTCCGTACTTAAATGTATAATTACACTGTAACAAGGACACCTTAAAGAGCAGGTCATATGGTATTTTAAAGTGTCCTAATATTGTGTTGGAGTCCCCTACAACAGGTTTAAATGCATCTAAGGTCAGAAAACATTGTAATTTTCTCAGAATATACATTTAATATTGGAGTCATTTCTCAATGATTTTGAAACGGTTCGATCGAAGCATCTGTCTGTAAACCCCTCCCTTCCATAAGCCTACTCTGCTCTGATTGGTCAGCTGGCCAAGCCTGTTTTGATTGGCACAGAGAGAAGTACTTGAGCAAGTTTGCGAGCGCTACCTTTATATAAAACAATAATATAGTTTAACATTTAGTTTAACACTTATGCAAGCGAATCGTGCCATCAGCTAAAGTTTAGTTGCTAAACTGTAAACGCATAAGACAATAATGGTGGATACGTTAGCCAAGTGCTAACGTGACTAACTGAAGAAACCGTACTGTTTGTAAACCACAATATGTCTACTGTAATGTCTGAAGAACGACAGACAAAAGACGATCCGTGTCTGAACCTTCAATTAGAAAGCAGAACAGCTGTATCACAGGCGCAACTAACTCGCTTGTCTAGCTCTACCGGGTCTTTTACTTCCTGCATTATCCCTGTAACTGACAGTGCAGCAAAATAAACAGCAATTTCACAATGATTATAAAGTCTGTGCGCTACACTACATTCTTTATTATTAAATGAAGTTATTAGAACAACGACAGTCTACATTAATCGACACATTCTTAGGAAATAGTGGGTTCACAGTGAATTATCAAAACTATTTCAGTAAGACAGTAATATCATGGTTTACCTGGAAACCTAATGCTGCACTAGGTATAGGCTTGCATCACATATTAGCACAAACAACTTGCTATTTTGAGCACTCAACTGAAAATGTACACACGTATCAATCGTACTTACAGGTTGTGGTTCGGAGACGCTTGTTGGTCCAAATAAAGATTAACTTAGAAGCTGAAGAAGATAAAAGGCAAGATTAGAGAAGCAGTTCTCGGTAAAATGACGAGCACAAAACAAAAGGTTTGAATTTTAACTACTGGTTCTTTACATCATCATCTTGGCAATGAAAACAAAAGAAGCAGAATGTTCGTATTTCGTGGGCAGGCGGGGGTTATGCAAATGTGTTACCCAGTGACATTGATCAGTAACAGACAAAAGATTCGAAAATATGACGACTCGTTAAGGCGATTCAGAATATATGACACATGACACTTGCATTTTAAAATCTTTATTTGAATATGGCAACATAATATTGCGCTCTACAATATTTCTATGAATTAATCTCTGACAGAGACTCCTCCCCTACCAGCCAATCACTGTGTGCATAGTTACTAAGCATGCTGACATCATCCATAGCAACGAGGTCAACCCCGCCCTTACTCTTAGCTTAAGACTTCTCTCTATTCCTTAGTAAAAGTTTGTCTCAGCAGCTTTGTGAATAGGTTTTAAGAGAAAACTCTTAGCTAAAAACTTTTACTGCTATTTAGGATAACTCCTTAGTGGTAAGATAAAATGTTTTGTGAATACGGGACTACGGGCCCAGATTTCTAGTCTCTAAATGTATGCAAATTAGTGCATATTTAATTCGATAATGCAGTGTTTGCATATTTAAACATAACTACAGATGACTAGTGATACAAAACAGTTGTTTTAATGTACTGTGATCAATCATCTGGGGAAGTTTGGTAATATCTATTCAATATTACCCTATTCACATGTGGTGTCTTGCCTTAATGAAGTCATTTGACTGTTTTGAATGCGTGTTGTTACATAATATTTACTGTTTCATATTTTTTTAATAGTAGACAGCATTCTATGCATACTACACCATAAGCAGTGAGCTAGTATTCTGTGCCAATGATGGTATTTCCGGACTTGGATTTTAAATTAGCAGACGAGGTTCAAGTGAAGCTCTCATATCAGCGCTCCTCCTGGCATGTTTGTGGGAAATACTATCATCAGGAGCTGACTTTCCATTCCCGCCCCTGCCTTCACAGGGAGGAAGTTCAGGGGAAGTAATCCAAGCTCTTTTTATTTGCTGGAAAAAACAAAGACTTCTCCTTATTTGCCCTACTGATCTTCATGGATGCTGACAGAAACTGTTGGACTTTTAGCATGGTAAAAGCAGTTGTTTCTAAAATGCTGAACCAAAAATCATTTTGTAATTATCTTGTAATGGTAGTTGTTGATTTTTGATTAATTCCTTTAAGTTAACATTCATTTATTCAGAATTATTGCATTCCTATTTAATTATTATAATTCCACTCCATCTGTTTGACATGTGCGCTACGGCACTCCTTTAGTAAAGTCTGTGAAGTTCAACTGAGATGGTCTTATCCTATGTTGGTTTTTTTTTAATATACTTTACTAAGTTGATATACTGTCCTTTGTGTCATATTTGAAAAGATATTGAAAAGCAGGATTTAACAAACCATTGAATGAATTGCCAAAACTAGTACATCTACAGCAAATGCTCTTCAACACTCCCAAGCCCCTCTTGAGGATGCTAATTTCCCATTAGCATAGCCAGTTTGGCCTAAATTGGGAGCAGATGCTTCTGTGAGGCCGATCCCACTCCTTCCTCGCGTTTGTTATGTCTGTTTGAGGAAGCTATATGACCTTGGCTCAGACAATATGAAGAGAACCCAAGGCCAGAAGCAGTGCTAAATGTATACAAGCACGGGAAGAGCGTGTACAAGGTTCATTAGGTGGTCACCTACTTGTTCTGTTTGGACTAAATATAGTTTATGCAATAGCCAAAGCAGTTTGTGCGTTAATAAACAGGTTATTTTAAGGCGATGATTAAGTGCCTGAGAGGCATAGTGTCCCTGTGAGCAATAGTGAATGGACACTTCCATGTCATTGGACATATTTTTATCTTGCTACACTTCTAAAAAATAAAGCTCACATAAAAGGGGATTTTCCACTATTTAAAAAAATATTCTTTATTGGAATTTATGTTTCAATGAATAACCTGTACCATCCATGTAACCTTTCCATGCACAAAGGTTTCTATATGGTGGAAAATAGATTATACAGATATTCCTCACACTAAGAAATGGTTCTTTAAAAACTGTTCACTGAAAGGTTCTTTGGGGAACCCAAACTGGTTCTTCTATGGCATTGGATGAATGTTTTTATAGTTCCTCTAACTATTGGTGGAAATACCTGATTTGATTTATTTATAGGAAGTAGGAACATTAATTAATAGGGTCTAGTAGGGACTAACCCAGCACAATAGGAACTCCTAGTGATGTAGGTGTATATTATTTGGCTGAACGCATGCCATACAAAACAATGGCACCCACCATTTAAAAAAAAAAAGTTTACATATACTTACTCCATGAACTAACTCCACAGATATGGAAAACAGAAATAGATGGACTGACGGCGAAGTCCAGACACTTCTCCGTCCTTTAGTTATTGACATTGTTGAATGTAACACTTAAATTATGTCACTGTCAGCCGGCTTTTGTCACTTCAGGGTTCCTACCAGCAGTGCGAATGCAATACTTGGTTCTAAAGAGATCGCCCTGGTGGCTACTACCCAGGTCAAATGCCTCTAAACTTTTAAAAATAAAGGTTCTTTATTTGCATCAGTGGTTCCACAAAGAACCTTTACCATGATCCATGGAATCTTTTCATTCCACAAAAGGTTCTTTACAGTGGAAAAAGGTTCTTCAGATTATTAAAATGTTCTTCACCCTAAAAAATTATTCTTATAAGAACTGTTCACTGAAAGGTTCTTTGGGGAACCAAAACTGGTTCTTCTATGGCATTGCTGTGAAAACCCCCTTTTTGGAACCTTTATTTTTTAAGAGTATAATGTGAAACCCTCACTTTAGGTACCTTTATTTATAAGAGTGTGCAGCAATGGCATAGAAGAACCATTTTGGGTTCTCCAGAGAACCTTTCAGTGAACAGTTCTTAAAAGTACCATTTTTTTTTCTTAGTGTAAAGAACATTTTAATGATCTAAAGGTCTTTCTTCCACTATAAAGAATCCTATGTGCAATGGAAAGGTTCTGTGGATGTTAAAGGTTCTTTATGGAACAATCAATGCCAATAAAGAACCTTTATTTTTGGTAGTTTCTTCAACATTCAACTAGAAACAAATTAGTGGGAGGACCTGGGTGACTGTGGCATCAGTCTTTTTTTTTTTTTTTTTACTCCACCCAGACTGGGGCAGAGAAGCTTCTGCATTTCCTAGGTTGCCTTAGGCAGACACAAAGCCACTCAGAAGTGAGACTGGCCTACGCTGGCTTCTCCTTTGAATTGGAATACAGGATTACTTTGCCTGGGCAGATGTCTTAACCGTAGAGGCCAAGGAGTGTCGGGTCACAACAGGTTGCTGGCAAGACCGTAGTGAAGTGTTTATGGAATATATTTTGAATTGCCTTTGCTTAGTTTTTTGGATTGAACATGAACAAGGCCTGTGCCTTGTAGAGCAGAGACTGGATGAACTGGTTTCTTCTCTGGCAAGACTGCTGTCTTTGGTTGTCTTAATTTGTTGTAACAATTTTGCTGTTACTGACTACGGTTGTTGGCTCTATTTGATTTCATGTCTTGTTCTTTGCAGTTTAACAGACAGCCGCCATCATTCCGTGCTGCAAGGGTGACCCCAAAATGTCTTCCAACGGTGATCTGCAAGACGTTGGGAGCTGGGACAGCTTCTGGGAGGTAAGTATCCCCAACCGCAAATGCACATATGCACACAGATCTTCCTTGCAGAGTGGGCAGCATACTGTGGCGTCCAGCCAGGGAGTTAAAGACTACAGGAACGGATCCCTGCAGATCTGACATTTCCATGAGCTTTCTAAGAGGTTTCCGCCCCTGGCGAGATTTGTAGTAGTTGTACCCCTTCTCCACTGTTTCTTCAAGCATGCTTGGATCACGTCTATACTTGCCTTGGAGAAAACTAACAGATGTGAAGTGCTTTTAGATAGTAAAGTGAAAGTGAAATGTTTATTTTGCCATTATTCTTGTCACTGTAATGCAGAGAGTAATTTAGAGGAGAATGGGGGAGATTGTGCCACTATGTAAGTGTGTTGCTCCCCTAATCTAACAAACTGTGCTTATTGTTTTGTATCATTATGTATTTAGTAAGGGCCCTTCATATACAGCTGCCTGCAATTGAAAGATGCGCATGGAAAAAAAATTATGCTATAAGTTTATAATATAATATCAATTTAGTCACTACCAGGTGTAAAAAGTTATATCAAATGTATTGGTCAATTGACATTGTATAAAACTGTAACAATATAAAGATTAGCCATGGCTAATTATGTATTTATTTATTTATTTTTAAATGGTAGCTAGGGTAAAGTTTGCCAAATGCTTTGGGGTAAGCTATGTCAGTGGCTCAACTAATAGCTGGTGATTGTGAGCTTTGCCTTCAAATGCAGGAAATGTCATTACAAACACTATTAGAAAATGTTACAATTGCTTATAATTCAGCTTACCCCTTGATATGACACGGCTTACCCCAAGTTTTATGAGATTTGCTATAAAGGCCATGCTTTTGTAGATCCTTTCTTCTCATTTCATTTGATAACAGAAGTATAAATACTGTTCGTTTAATTTCATTTCGGTTTTAAGTTAGAATCATAATGAATCTAATTCTAAAATCCTACATTTAACCTTTATTAGACTGTAATGTACTAATCCACTGATAATCCTTGCTGTTAACTGTTGTGACTAGATCATTGAGTCAGTGAGTTAAACTTGAGAACCGGATCAGTCAGATTTAGAAATGGAATGACTCTAACATGACTTTCGTTTGTCAGCCTGGGAACTACAAGAGGACGGTAAAACGCATTGACGATGGCTACAAACTATGCAATGAGCTGGTCAGCTGCTTCCAGGAGCGGGCCAAGATTGAGAAGGGCTATTCCCAGCAGCTGAGTGATTGGGCCAGGAAATGGAGGGGTGTTGTGGAGAAAGGTGAGCATGACTTTGAGTCTCATCGTTCATCCTCCTTAGATAGATGCATGCCTCTACAGTTACATCAACACATTCTGTTCCCATGAGCTGATAAGTGCTTCTGCCAAACCCTTAATAGTTGCACAGTAGTTTCTACGTTTGGGGAAAAGAAGGTATGAAAGTGTAATATGGAGTTGTGCCATGTGTCAGTGATCTATCACTTTATATCATTCATCATTCCATTAGCAACCGGTGTATATTGTATATACTGGATTTTGACTACACTACCTGCATGCATGGATGTGTTTTGAGCACTTGTAAAAAATAACAGCAAAACAGTAAATCCTAAATGTTTGATTTAAAAAATAAACCGTAAATGTATGCAGTTTAAACAAACCACAGTATTTTGTATTGGCCTTAAGAAAAGTCATAGGATATGAATGGATTACCTCCCAGTGAGAGCCTCAGGCTGGCCACATATTCACTAACCAGACCACGTGACCTTAAAGGGGCAGACACACAGACCTACAATTATTATACAGTAGACTTGGGCTTTTAAGCAATTATCCAGTGTTTGGAGCTGACAGATAAAGCTAAATTCTTATTTCTGTCCTGCAGGCTCACAGTATGGGACTCTGGAAAAGGCCTGGCATGCTTTCATGAATGCGGCAGACAGACTGAGTGAGATCCATATGGAACTAAAAGAGAAACTGGTTGTTGAAGACAGCGAAAAGATTAGAAACTGGCAGAAGGATGCCTTCCACAAGCAAATGATTGGTGGATTCCGTGAGACCAAAGATGCCGACGAAGGCTTCCGCAAGGCCCAGAAACCCTGGGTCCGAAAACTGAAGGATGTGAGTCTCCTCCTGTGCAGAATACAAAGTCATTAGTATGGATTTCATCCATTAAACAATGGCAAATATTTTATTTTTATTTTTTTTTTGCGTTTGTGTTTTCGTTTGATTTGTTGTTTTGGTTTTGTTGTGTGTGTGTTTTTTTTTTTTAAATTTTTTTTACTTTAATTAATTTATTTTTTTTTTTATTTTTTTTTTAATTGGCAGCTCACCCATAATGATCTGATCTGATGTTATCATCTACTCATAGTAATGGCACTTAAACTCAATTTTTTTTATGGAATGTAAATTTAGTTCAGAAATCTTAGACATAACTCAGAAATCTCTTTTTTTTCAACTAGTTTCATCAACTAGTAGATGGTAATCAGTGACCAGTGATTGTCAAGCTGACCAAATGACGAAGGTTCATATGATTTGTTTGTTATATTTCAAGTCTTCTAAGGCCATATGATAGCTTAGTATATAGCTTGACCACCATACATGTTTGGTGTAACATTATGATGAATAAATGATGGCAGAATCTTTGTTTTTGGGTTAGCTGTCCTTTTAAACAATGTTTAAAGAGAATCATGTTTGTACTTAGCCATATTATTTACTCATTAAGAAATATACTGTTGTGTAAATATCTTCTCTGCGGTAGGTGGAGTCTACCAAAAAGAGTTATCACCAAGCCCGGAAGGAAGAGCGCACGGCGTTGACCCGTGAAACTCATGCCAAGGCTGACCCCACCAAATCCCCAGAAGAGGTCCGCAAGTTCACAGAACGCCTGGAGAAATGTACCCAAGAGGCAGAGAAGGTAGCATGAGAAAAAGCACAGACACAACAATTTTTCAGTTTTATTAAGGATTATAGTAATTTTTACGTTGGTAATTACTGTATTAGCTTGTCTGCAACTGTCCATGTCTAGTCTGAAGGAGATGGGTGGGGATTGAAATGACAGAATTTCCATAAACTTAGACAAGACAAGGCTTGTTTGTTGCTTGTGTCAACGGTAAGGCCCCTGTGATGATGTCTTTGGACTTGTTGTGACAATGCAAAATTATGGGTGTGAATAACATGTTGTTGAATGTGTAGTTTCATTCATAAAAATATACTTCCTGCAGTTTCTGTCTCCTCAAAGGGAAACATCACCCGATTTTATGTATTTAAAAGGATTTTGCTTTAATTTTTCTATCATTTATAAAAGCAGACTTTATTGTCTGTTATAGACAGTCATGAAATTCATATTAGTGCATTTGCATTTCATTTAGCACATGCTTTGATCCAAAGGGACTCATAAATGAAGAAAGTGGTACATCTTGCTTTTTCAGATTCAACAATTCTCGATCCAAACATTGTGAATATGCACTGTTCCATTAGATGTATTCTGAGTATACTGAACAGGAAATTATGATCTTTGGAATTGACCTTGTAAACTGTGTCCCATGACTCTGTCCCATGAACTTGCACATCTGTTTGGATGTTTTCCCTCAGGCTAAGGAGCGTTATGAGAGAGCCCTGGACGAGCTGAATCGCTGTAACCCGCGTTACATGGAAGACATGGAGCAAGTGTTTGAAATCACACAGGAGGCAGAAAAAAAGAGGCTTCGCTTTTTTAAAGAAGTGCTGCAGGACATACACCAGCACATGGACCTCTCCAGCAATGATGGGTTAGTCTCTCTGCTTCACTGTTTACTAGATACTTATCTTCTTGGACAGCATCCTAATCAAAATATTTGATTTGAAACTCATCGACAACAAATCACATGCACCACACAAACAGTTCTTCAGCGATTTAGAGAAGAGTCCAGTAGAATCTAATGCTGCTAATGACTCTTTACTATGCATAATAAATATGTAGTACACGCATTGTAAAATTATTTTTAATTAGATTACAGTATTTTAAATCAGTTTGTTTTAGTATTTAATATAGTATGCAGATATGAATAATCTGCATTTTCCTTGACTTTAACCAGCTTCTTGGCTAATAATTCTCACTGGCTTGTCACAGTGCATTCTGGGATTGCCTTATCCACAAAGTATACATATGATACTTCTATAGAATTTGAATAAAACAAGGTATTTAGAAGGCCACTTCCAATAGATCTTAGTCAGGGTAGAGCCATCTTTCATTTCTGACATGCAAAAATGAGGCTTTGACGAATAGAAGTACAGTGTATTAAATGGATTATACTGTTTTTTAACAACATACCGATTGTTTAGCTGACGATGCATCTTTCCAAAAGACTTTCAGTAGACAAATCCCTATATAAATCATACAGTGTGTGCCATTGTAAAGGCTTAGGTAAAGGAGTCTATCCCTCATAGCTTTGTTTTCATCCATGTAAAATTTAAAACAGCATCTACCCCGACTAAGACCTATAGAGTTAGCAATGTTGCTTGAGCTAAACAAGACGCTGATAATCATAAAAAACAAATATTGTTTAAAAATGTATTGTGTGGAATAAATAATTTTCAATTAATTGCTTATTTTTAATATTATAAATATTTTTAATGGTACTTGAGCTAAAAATACAATAGTCTAATCATAAAAACAAATATTTGGTCAAATGGGCTGTTTTTATTACAATAAAATAGTTTTCATTGAGTAAGTACTTTTTGAATTAATATAATTTGTCAAGATTTGCTATGGCATCTTGGATAAATTTTTTTATGGTAGCACTTTATTTCACAGTCCTGTTCCACATGTACATACTATGCACTTGTTATAATATTTACAATTACTGGATAATAACTAGGTATTTACCCTGAACCTATCCCTAAACCTAACCCTAACCCATGTAGTTATATTATCAGTACTTTCTTGGGTAAGTCCAGTTAAGTGCACGTACTGTAAAATAAAATGCAACCAATTTTGTTCACTGAGCTTGATGCAGTGCATTCTGGAATTGCTTTTTCCTACTTTTAATAGTAATAGATATTTTCTTCGGTACCTTTTGGAATTGGATAGAATAATGTACTTTGCTAGTTTATTTTAGCTGAGTTTATCCATGAAGATTTGAATATCTAAGAAGGCAGCAGAATTTAGCTTCCAGTTGTTTTGAGCAGTCTACAAATGCTGTCTAGTTGGGTGGCTTGCTAGAGTTTGAAACCGAGCCACTGAGAGAATGACAGGCACAGATTTCGACAGTTTTGAGTTGTTCAATTAAAAATGACATGAGACAAATGGGGAGCTCCGTCTCAAACTTTACTCAATGTCAAATCCTGATTTATATCAGCAATTTCAGTAACCTCAGGCTCTTGAAATAGTTTCTGGTCATTTATGTGTCTCATAGCTAAAACTGAAATAAATGTTAACCATTAATACAGTTTTGAGTTGTTCAATTAAAAATGACAGACAAATGGGGAGCTCCGTCTCAAACTTTACTCAATGTCAAATCCTGATTTATATCAGCAATTTCAGTAACCTCAGGCTCTTGAAATAGTTTCTGGTCATTTATGTGTCTCATAACTAAAACTGAAATAAATGTTAACCATTAATAAGTGCTTATTTGTTTTTCCAGGCTCTCTGTTATCATTATGTTTACTTAATGAGGAATTCTGAGCATGTCGTTGACTATTAACCAGGGTCATTTCAAAAGAGCTGAAAGCTAGGGTGACTTCATGTATCCTTTTTGTTTTTTAATCAGTGAACAAATACCTCCTTTCGTTTTGTGTTTCGGTGTTAGCTTAAGCAGCGTGGAGTTACATGTTCAGAATAGCAACAAAAACAACACCCTTCAAACCTGTCTCTGCAGTTTTGCACAATTGTTTACTTTTGTTGTGCTGTAATTACAGGGCTGGTGCTGAGCTGCGTGGTAATCATATGTAGCTTAGTTTCATGTACAAGAATCTTTGTGTTTACCTCTTTCCCTCATTCTTTGTATTTCCATGGTACTTAATGTTCCTGCCTCTTTTGTTCTGTTAGCAGTGGTTATGAAACTAAAAACTATTTTGTTTTACTTTTTTTTTTTTTTTAAATATAGAAGTGTTTGTCCGAACAAAACTCGTCAACAGGATACTAGGGTATAGTGGGTGGTTTTAGCATGTTACTATTTCTAATAAAAGCAAATGTTTGCTTACTTGCCGATCAATACATATTAAAGGCACAATATGTAATTTTCGCCACTAGAGGGCGCGTATTCAAAATAAACAAAGAGATAAAGGCGTAGTTTGATGACGCCGTGACTGAGTGTGGAATCATGGGCGTTGTCGTCTTCATCCCCACAGCTGATGCAATCCGACGGGACGTTTTATCATACTAGATGCATTTGAAAGTTCTGTTATACTGCTACTCTATGCGGTCGTCACCGGTCTATTAAAACGCACAACATATTAAAGCGTCTGCACAAATCTGTCTTATTGGCTTAGTGGCACCAAAATCAAAAATGCGTTATGGTTGTCAAGGTTTTTGGCAAAAGGGAATGACAACCATTTTCCTCTCTTTTTCTCTAGTCATGTAAACATTTTTTTTTAAAGAAATCACATTTCTGCTGCATAAATACCCACGTTTTATTAAAAGCTTGTCTTGCCAGTGGTGCATTACCCATTTAAGTAAATATATGTCTACTACAACAAGGTACTAATATTAGGTAATGTACAAAGTTGTCTCTTAAACTATTGTACCCTGAATGGAACGTTTTTTTGACACTATGCAGGATATGTCTAAAAATATTTCTGTGTGAGTTGCTTTAAAGGTATGATCAATATTAATAGCGATGTTTGTCTTAGCAACAACCATCATTTAAAGTTGATGTTGGCTGTATTTTTTAAACATGCACTTCCTTGTGCATAAATAAAAACCTGTCCTGACAGAGTATGTGGAAAATCCCCATGCAGATTTCGAGGCCTGTACAGAGACCTCAGCCAGACCATCAATGCAGCCAATGACGCAGAGGACCTCAGGTGGTGGAGGAACACCCATGGGCCCGGCATGTGCATGAATTGGCCCCAGTTAGAGGTATAGTAAGTTCTCTGCTCTGCAAAATATTGTTTTGTTTAGAATATTTGCTACATCACAGAATGCCAGGTAACACACAGACCAGACTACAAACATAAACGGTAACATTTGCTTAGAATAGATACAGCATTAATGGACCAAAACACTGCTGTGGAGTTGTCAACCATAGAGCTGTTTTGGGCCCCAGGCTCCAGTGGTGGTGAATTTCTAATGGGCTGAGCGTGAATGAGCTGTTGTCTTTGCACGGCCCATGAGTGGGTTCTGGAATGTTGGATCCCTCTCCCTAATGGCAATCCTTCCCCCCTTCCTTCCCAGCCCTCCCCACAACACAAACACACGCAGACACACAGTGGCAGTGTCAGCATCTCCATTTGTGTAAATGAGGTTTGTACATAACACAACTGTGTGTGTGTGTGTACAGATGTGTCATGGAATCTGAGTGTCTGAAATTTAGAAATCCTCCATGGTGTGAATGTTTAATTGAGCAGTAGGAGAGTGAATAGCAGTCACAGAGCTACAGTAAAACTAAGCTTTTAGTCAGGTTTGCCCAGGTAAGGGACACCTCCAGAGGAATCTTCTGGCATCCTCCCTGTTCTGCCAGCACACTGGAGTCCTTTGTGTGGCTGTAAAAAGGCACAGACTCTCTCTCTCTGCACAGTGATCGAAGGCTGACTGGATGATGGTCCCACATGTGACTGTGAATATAAGTGCTGTTATGTCACAGTCACATTGTGTGACTGATCTGTATTCTTGTTCTGCTTTAAGGAAAAGTTATTTACAGGGATGGATTAACACACACACACCAAACAGTATATTTTTGTTTTGAACTTGTGTTTTATTAAAAGGGAAAACTGGGTGTGAAATAATGCAGTGACAGTATAATGTAAATGCCTGTTTATTGCATTGTCATTGCTTATTGCTTGTAAAACACAAACACAAAATCCTGTAAAATTTGCATGCATATGTGCGTGCACACATTGTTATATTATTTAAATAATATATACGATTATTTATACCTTTTTTTTTAAATACATCATTAAAATCGAAACATTATAGCAATGGGAAGTAGTGAGTATAACACAAATTAGTTACATGCAAATCCTGTAAAACATGCATATGTGCGTGCACACATTGTTATATTATTTAAATAATATATAAGATTTATACCTTTTTTTTTAAATACATCATTAAAATCTAAACATTATAGCAATGGGAAGTAGTGAGTATAACACAAATTAGTTACATGCAAATTATGGATTTTCACATTTCATGTTTTAACAGGAGTGGTCACCAGAAGCAAACCGATCCATCAGTCGAAGAGACAGAAACAGTCGTTCTGATGACGTGGTCACTCTGACTAATATTGTCTCAGCGGGAGACGAACCCCCGAAGACTCCACAGGAAACTACGAGGTACATCTGACTACTGCATGCTCGTATGCTCATGCGCAAGAAAATATTAATATAATTTATAATTATGTTTGAATTGAAATAAAAAATTTGAAATGTAAAAACAATGTAGTTCATTTAAAAATAATTTGAAAAATGTAAAATATTATTTAAAAATGTGTTTAATTATTTATATATATATTTTTTAATTAATACATTTAACCCTCAATCAAGTTTAATTTTTGGACCTTTAAATTTAACATTTTGGCCCCTTTTTACAGTTCAGTTCTGTGTGGGGGGAAAAAAAGTTGATTAAAATGGTGACAAATGAGATTTTAGCAATTACAGCAATTGATCTAATAAATGTGTATTTTAAAAAAAAATCAATACTGATCTGGATACAGTGCAATACAGTGCTTGATGGCCAATATGACTATACAATTTAATTATATCAAATAAGGTGCACACAAAATTGTTGCAACATGAAAACAACATTTCCTCAAAATTCACACAATATTTGAAAAATTTACATTTGTCAGCCACCCAAATATAGATACACAGATTCTTGAGTTTCATATTCTGCTACAATAATAATCCAACTTTTAATTACAGTGTTGTATTTAGAAGTGGAGGGTTGCTATTGTTTTTTTGTTTTTTTTTAATTATCCTGACAACAGTTCTTCCCTGAGGGCTTCACTCACTGCTTATAGAACCAACTACACCAATTAGCACTAAGTTAGCGTATTCAAACTGTTTGTGTATATATATATGTGTGTGTGTGTGTGTGTTAGGGTAGCATGTTAACACAGGATCAAGGGAAATCAAAGGTATTAGCTAAATGAAGTGCCTGGAAAGAACTGAGAAGGTCTGGTACAGATAATTTAGAGGACTCATGTTTGTGTGTTGTATCTGAATCTCTCTCACAGGGAACACGGGCACACAGGAGAATGCCTGTTAAATTGCAGTATTAAATGTGGCCTTCTGCAGCTTCCTGCTTATTAGTCTGGTCTCTGTTGACTCTTAAACCCACAGGTGGCTTGAGGCGGATGGCTATTACGAGAACCTAAGTGGCTATGCACCGGGAGTGTCAGTGCAACTTTCTCTTTTTATTGACCTCCTCTCTCGGAGTACAAACAACAGCTCTGTTCTAAAACCTAGTTAGCAGCCTACCTAGACAGTATTTTAAGGAATCATGGATGCACGCCTTACACAAAGGTTGTTACAAAAGTAGGCAGCAATGTTATGCAGTAGTAATACACAAACTCCGGCAACCGAAAAGATTCAGTCAGAAATGTATCTTTGGTTTTGGCTGAAATGGTTCTGGAGGGCCAAAATCATTGAGTAAAATTGTGACATTCAATTAGCGCTTCTCAGACTGCACCTTTTGACTGTGTCAGTGGCTATTTTGTGAATGCAAAGTGTATAAGCTACAACAGATAAATGGGTCAGTAATGTGGATGCTTTGACTGTCGATTTTTATTTTTCTTCATCAGTCATTTTGATAAACCAAGACGTTTTAGTCTCACTGATTTCACTTGATGTGTGAACCAAACTTCTCTAAGTTAAGCATTTTTGAGGTTCCATTTACTGTAGGTTAGAATATTGTCTTAGAAGGCAGCTGTCTATGTAGGCAGCAAATGGCAAGGTAGCTCACTAGGTTGTGGAACAGAGCTAACTATATCTTCAAGACAAGAACATTTTGAGATCTATTAGCATTATGTAGTTTTTGTTGTTGTTGTTGTTGTTGCTATTAAGATTAATCAAATTAACCCATTTGATCCCAGTCCCTTGTGAGAGCCAATCATTTGTGAACATTAGTTCCAAGCTAAAAATTGTTCAGAGCAGTATGCTTAAATCAAGTTTTTAACAATTACACCTTTTATTTGCTCCTTGCAGTCTCCTCTGAAAATCAATATGTAGCCTTGTTTCTAGTACTGCTTTACACTTATTTTTCTTGGAGTAAATATTGAAGGAATGTTCCGGGTTCAGTACAAGTTGAGCTCTATTGACAGCATCTGTGGGGCAAGACATTACACTGAGATAAACTTTACACAGTTTTGAAAGTATTGTCACGAAACTTAAACAGTGTTACATGTGGATACCACATAGTTTATGTACAGTGAAATCCACCCAGTGGAAATGTGTTGGAGATGCATAACAAGAAGTTAATCCACCTGGAAAAGTAGTTCCACCACTAAAAGGACAATTAAGATGCCATTATTGCATAAATAACAAATTTTAGTATGGAAGAGTTAATAAGTGCTTTAACAAAAACACTACCTGCAAATATCTGCTTTTTAAGCCCTCTGGAATCTTCTGTTCCTTAAGCCCAAAGTAAACTTCAGTTATGACACAGATGTTTGGCGTATGCATACAGTCGAATGCAAAGCCTTTCAAAAGGTTTTCCATTTGATAGCATGCACAGACACAGGTAGTCAACACATGCTGTTGACATTTATAAAGTTTCATCCTTATCCAGTGTCTGCACTATTTCTCCAGGTGTTATCACTGACAGAATGTCTTTGTCTCTTTCTTAACCCTCACACAAGCTGATCAGCATAGGTGTCTGTTTTTGTTGCTTCTTCAATACTTTGTTTTTCCATCCTGAGGTCTGCGCAGGAACAATTTTTCACAATATTCTGTCCCCCTCCCGTTAAAAACAAGTTTTTTTTCCAATCTGCGACTTTTTGACCACTCAATGCCAATTTCCACACGCATAACTTTTCTGACCTCACCTTGTTGCATTTGTCGCAGCAGACAAAAGGAAGGTGCTTTCTCTTCCTGTTGGCTATAACCAAAGACCACTGTTGTGCAATCGACTAATAACATTCTGCACTTGAAAAAATACTTTTAAATTTTTTTTGCATTTCTTTCTTCCACTTCCCGAGCATGTCATTATCTTCCACAGTGTTGCCAAGTCAGCGTTTTTTTTTTCGTAGAATTGGGCTACATTTATGTTGCTGCCATGGGCTGTTTTTTTTGTTGGTTTTTTTTGGTAAACAATTGACCCTTCACCAGGAGTTCGATTGACAGGAGATCTGACCAATCATACCACTGAATCTGCTATTTTGTCCGACAAACAAACCAGACAGAAGAGTAGATTCATGTCGGTGGTCTTGAACTCCAAAAATGGGGTGTATTGACTTTACGCGGCTGAAACAAGATACCTTCTGATGTTCACTCATGTTTGCTTCATGCTGTAACTAGTAAAGAGGAAGAGATGATCGGTTCACATGCCGCTTAGTCTCAGCCTCAGACATCATGCCCACGGACCGTTGGCTAAACGTCTGATGCATATGGCCCACAAAAGTGGAAACACTTCAGGAGTTTCGAAGTCGTCGTCGGATTGGTTGAATTATACAGGATTTCCGGGAGACGTGTGTGTCGCGTTCTTTAACGTTCCGCCTGGAAACAAAGATACCGTGCCGCCAAACCCCCTCACGACAGAAGAAAGCCGTTGTGTTTACAACTGTGACGATGAGCGCTTATCAGGATCAACTAAACGCTGGATTTTCAAAAGTATGTGAAAAAATTTAAGTTCGCGGCATAGAATCTTTAAAATACATCAGAGAGTTTTACACACCGATCTGTTATTGTGGCGACATTTCCACGCCAAAACGTTATTTATTGTTTAAAAACGACTAATTTTGAAAGCCGAGTCTTTGTTTCATACCAAAAGTAACCTGCTTTGTCTTGTCTGTCGGTGCGTTGTCAGTTTTCTCTTTGCTCTGTGACTTATTTTTCACTGCGTGAGAACATGATGTAGCATGATGTAGCGTGAGAGCGCCATGGCTTGACGGACATTGCAACAATAACGAAGGGGGCGGGTTTTTGCGAAGGGTCTATCGAGCTAGTTTTGAGTACGAATTGGGCTGTTTTTGTTATGCAGACCTGGCAACCCTGATCTTCCACTTCCACTCACCAATTCAGTCATGAGCTGGATAAAATTGACATCATGTGCATTGTGTGCATACGCTAACCAAAATATACTTCAACTGTTTGCGCATGACTGTAATGTGATTTTTGAAGGACATTAAAATTAGTTTCTGTGATAATCCACAGCATGCCACAGATAATAAAAATGAAATAACATTGAATTCCTTCTATAAATTTGAAACGTTTCAAATGTTTTTAGCTGAACTATCACTGATCACCTGATTACCAAGCTATTAATCTTCCACTTTCTATTAAAATGATTTGTCCATGAGTTTGTTCAGTTTTCTAATTCCTTTTCTTTTCAAACAGGGCGGGTAAAGACTACTCCTCGGACTGGTCTGATGAAGAGAGCCCCAAAAAATACATCGCAGCCAACGGGGTGGACGAGGAGGAGAAGGTAGTCGGGGTTCACGTTAAAGCGCTGTATGATTACACTGGGCAGGAGGCTGATGAGCTGAGCTTTAAAGCAGGTATTAATCCCTACTAATGCTTATTAATGCCACACACATGAACATACACATGGCTGCGGCTTGTGGATTCATCAAACCCCTTTTCTTTGCTCTTTCAATGCCTTGCTGTGCATGGTAGTGCAGTTATTTCAAAAGGCATTGTGGAAAGGATGAAATGAAATGGGGATTGTCAATCTAAGCATGTGTGTGATTAAACCCTACATGTTACATGGGTTTATTTGAGACTGCTTCCTCACATTTAGACAAAACCCATGAAACTGCTTTGGAACTACTGAACTGACACAAAACACAAATTTATTCCTTTACAATTTGGCTGTGCTAGAATTTTCAAAAATAGAAGCAACAAAACAAAATGGGCAAAGAAATTAAACACTTATATTAAGCTGATCTGAGCTGTTACACTTGTAACAAAATGTTTGCTTCCAGTGGAAAAGGAATCTAATCCACAACCTTGTTTTTATCGTTTCCCAGTTTTCGCTTCAGAGTAAAGTCCTATCAGGCTTCCTAATAAAACGACTGACTTTAATCTAGCCAGCAGACCAAAGATATTTAGCATTAGTGTCTGTGCTGCCGGAAGCTGTGAAGTAATGTAGAATGAGGGTAAATCAAATCTCAAGGTCAGAACTAACTGGCCTGGGCAAGAATAATGAAACTATCTCATTTGGTCTTGTTTGCTAGAGAAGAGCTTAACTGGATAGATGAGCAGGTCCCAGGATCCACCTAGAGGGTTTTTAAATCAGCATGCATGCCTTAAATATTATATAAAGCTTAAAGGATACATTCAGATTATTTATGAACTCAAGACACTGCCAAAATCCATGCCAGCCAGCAGCTCTAAGAAAATGTGCAATAGCAGACATGCCAAGAGTGACACCTGGTGGTCATTTACTGAAGTTTATTTTTTTCACTCAAGTAAAGTAGATTTAAAGGTGTACTCGGTCGGTATTTGTGTTTGTTGCATTGGCCGATATCACAGTCATCTTGGATTTATACTGACACCTATTGGTGTGGATGTAGCATGATGCTAAAGCTAATGTTTTCAGTTCAGTATTATGTATTCCTTATGTGTGAAACTTTCTTTAATGACAGGAAAAAACACAGTGTACTATTAAGTTCCTACAAGAACTATAAATCGTTCCCTTAAAAGTTTTTTTTTTTTTTGAAGTAGGTTTTACAAAAAACCTTAATATTTCACATTTAATTCAATGTTACTTGTCAATTCTCTGTAATTATTTGTGAAATTTGCTATAATTTTCAGAGTGAAAATTGTTTCAAAGTAAATCCTACTATTTTTTTTTTTTCATTGTTCCTCCAGCAAACCTTCATAAGCTAAAATGTTTTTGAGGCAGTTGAATATTAAAGTTCCCTGAATACATGCTAGAATATTTCAGGCATTTTCATTTTTAAGAGTGTAGGTGCATAGAGATAAATTGAGCTTGAAACCTGGTTTATGCTTGATGTGTCTGTACAGGCATGAGGGTGTGTGAAACAACAAAAGTGACATCATTGCAGCCCTTGCGAAACTGTATGTTGACTCTGCAAGGCTTGACTTCACACAGTCATGCACATCCCTGTCTGGAGCCATTTGGCTGGAGCGATAATTAGGGATTCACTAATATTAAAGGGGTGGTTCACTGTTTTTTTTCTAGGCTTGATTGTGTTTATGGGGTGCAGTCTAACATGTGTTAATGCTTTAAACTTACAGAATTTTAAAAGACAGATATCTCCGTTAGAATTGAACTTTCAGCTTCGTAATTTTGCAGATATTGTTTATGCTCAAACAGCAACATTACACACTAACGTTAAAAAAGTGAAATCGCAATCAACCACCCCTTTAAAATTCTGTCCAGTCTCAGTAAGCCTGTAATTATTTTCATTACTGTATAAACCCATAAATGTCCGATGGTAAAATTTTAATTTTACAATTTTAAATTTTGTTTTAAAAAAAGAATGCTAAAACACATTATAATGTACCCCACTGTTCAAAAGTTTTTTTTTTTAATGTTTTAGAATGAAGTCTTTTATGCTAACCAATAAAGCCTGATCAAAAATACACTAAAAATTAATATTATGAAATGTTAATACAATACCAAATAACTGTTTGAGTGTATTTTAAAATGTAATTTATTCCTGTGATGGGAAAGCATCATTACACCAGTCTTCAGTGTCACATGATCCTTCAGAAATCATTCTAATATGCTCTAATTTGCTGCACAAGAAACATTTCTTATTATTATCAGTGTTGAAAACTGTTGTGCTGCCTAATATTTTATTTAAACGGTGATACTTTTTACATGATTGTTTGATGACTAGCAAGCAACAGCATTTATATGAAATGGAAATATTTTGTAAAAGTATAAACATCTACACTGCCTAACACCTGATTAATTTAATGCATCCCCACTATATTAAAAAAAATCTAACTTTGATTGGTGGTATTATGCAATATGAAATATGCAAATTCATTTTAAGATTTGTTAAAGATTAAGTTAAACTATTAATAAAGTAGTAGCGATTTAAAATAAGTATTAGATGATTGCAAATGTATATAAATAAAATATAAATGTAAAAATAGTGGAAATGTGTGAGCATATAATTTAATATTGACTTCTAGCAGTTAAAAAAATCTCCATTTATAATACAGTATGGTACAGAGCCATGTAATATGAAAATTATGAGAGATGCAATATGACTAAAACAAAAACGCCTGCCTATGCATCACGTCAGAGTGCTAAAATTAAAATCACCTTTGAAGGGGGCTGAGGCGTCATTGTCCCATGTAGGTGAATGTGATTTCACCAAGTGCAACATGTTCCTGGATCAACATCCTTTTTGATCCTGGAACAACATTCCAATCAACCAATCAGAATTGAGGGATAAGTTAACAGGAAATGTCCATTTTAGTCTTACAACCAGAGTTAGGTGCTTCTACACCCTTGTTATTCAACCATCATTTCCCTCTGATTTTCGGGATAAATTATAGGTAGGGATAGGTTTAGGTCTATATTGTTGATCCAGGAACATGTCTGTCTTGGCAAAATCACAGTGACCGTCCTATGTACAACGTTTGTTATATCTGGTTATATACACTAGTCAACATTTGAAGTGGATCAAAACCTAAAACCAACTTTTTTTGATCCACTTCAAATGTTTACTACTATATTATAGCAGGGCTGCTGCTATATATTGATTTTGTGGTTATGACTGGTTTTATATTATCCTATGCATACGTCTCATTGAAAAGGAAGGCATGGTATTATGAAACACATGTTTGTGTCGTACAGGTGAAGAGTTAATGAAGCTGGGTGAGGAGGACGAGCAGGGCTGGTGTGGATACTTTCTGTAAGATGTTAGATTGTTCTAGTTTAACTGTACATTTCTTTGGCTGTAGTTCAGAATTGAAGGATTCTTCATTGCATATTTACCTTTATGTTTTCACAAAGATATATGGATTTATAATATACAAACTATTACTGGGCATATTCTCTTAGTCGCCCTTTGGAATCTCGAGTCTTGGATTCTTGTCAAAGGATTTGGGAGATTCTAAAATCTTTTCGGCTGGATTGTTTTACTTTTTTCATTTATCTTTTTGTTTTTATTTGGAGCGCAGGAAAGTTTCTGTTGTCAGGTGAGAGAAAGTGAGAACGGGCAAAACCTCTGGAGGACGACTTGTGGTCTTGATAAGGTGCGTGTGTGAGAGTGCTCATGGGAAATATTTTCATTTCCATATGCTCTGCCTCCAATGTGCCCCACTGTGAACATGGTTTTACATGAAACTACTGTAACAGCCAATACAAATCGATGTAAAAAATACCAAATAAAAGTGAATGAGATTCTTCTTGTTGTATAGTGGCTGTGATGCTGCTTAAACATGAAGTGAAGTTTTACATTAAATCATTTCATTAAAGTTGTTTCTAGGAGTTTTGTGGTTTGTAAGTTGAGTCCAGGACAATTTAACAACAGATGAGTCACATTCTGCCATATACTGGAGCTTTCTGGTAATTTGGTTCTCCTCAGGTTTATGTGAAATTACGTAATTATTATTTTTTTTATAAAGAATAAAACCTGTTCAGTTATTTTGAAAATATCATCAGGCAGCTACTGGGTAGCTGACGTGACCGTTCAAGTAGTCATGCAGTATTACAACTATCAAAAACAATTTTATTTTCTAAATCTTTTATAATTATGCATGCGATTTTTATGACCTCATATTAATAGTCCACTTCAAGAAGTATTTGAACTGCAAAAATAAATCGTAAAAAAAACATGAATGGTGATATTTATTAAAAATCTTATGCACTTAAAATAACCATATAATTTTTAAAAGAAGACAATTGAGCTCAAACACTGCTGCATTGCACATTTTGTTGCTTTTTAAAATTTAGGGGTTATTACCAAATTTATTGTAATTCTAGAGATGAATAAAAAATTACCATTGCTGTGCACATGCATAGATGTACACACTGACAGATGTGGGTCACTGACAAACAAACGGGTCACTGGGCAACAGCATCATAAAATCTAAGTATTAAGAACTGTTACATGAACAGTGTTTAGGAATCATAGTAAATTTGAGCTCAACCCAAAAGCATCATAAACCTAAAAACGCTGAATGAATTATTGTCCGCATTTGCAGTCTGGAGATTTTGGACAGTCTTGAGTTGACAGATTTCACTGAAAATCATGTGTAAGACGGACACAGATTCAGATTTTTTTTTTTTTTGGAGGAAAAAAAACAAAAACAACAGTGAACCTGTCCGGTCTGAGAATATCAAACATAAAATTTTAAAATATTTATTTAGTTTTCATTTGTCTGCCGGCAACGACGTGTGCTTCTGTGCGAGTTTGTTGTGTTCAGTCGTTTAGCATACGAGGACGTTTTCGGCAAATGCATGATTCCTAGTTTTAATATTCAGATTTGTAAAAAATGTAGTGTAATCCAAACCTTAAGTAGATTGTAGAAACCACTGGCATCAGTGGTCCCCATACCAGCCATTTAGGCTGCTTTTGGGAAACAACCTGTACAACCGGTGTGGGACAAATTTGAGACGAGTCAAAATAAACCGTTCCCAAATAATGCAATCTCCAGAAATCTTTCTGCTGGAGCCGAGACATGTCAGGGGACTCCATGCTGAAACATGTTGAACACATGCCTCTCTGTGAAGCAGTTTGAGAGTGAAAACTGAACTCTTCCGAGTAATAAACTTGTCTTTTTGTGCAGTATTTAAATCTTGGGATTTAGCATTTCTATACTATGAAATATAGAATAAGAAAAAGTTATGGCTCAAAATGTGCTTTATTAAACAGTAGAAATGCCTGTTATGAGGTACAGCGTTCAATCACATATCACTGTCCCTTTATTCCTTTGTAAGTATCATACATCCTTAGACAAACAGAAGAACAGTGTTGTTTTAGGAGTATGTTCAGTAAAAACGGAAAAATCCTTATGTTTTGCAAAGGCAAAGGTGATTGAGAACAATACGTATAGGACACTTATTCAATATATTTCATTTTCATGCCCTGCATTATCATTACAAATGTAAAATATATTATCTAACATTTCCTCCAATCAATATTTAACAAGGCTGTGTACAATTAATTCCGAAAGATCTGTAAACACAATTTAATTCAGTTCATTTGCTCTTCAAAAAGAAATTCACATTATTAATCCCAGAGTTCTGATGTTTTATAATAGAACGGTGGTGATTTTCAATGTGCACCGAGCTCTTTCTCCACAAGATCAGCAGTGAGGTTCTGTCTGCAGTCCCGCAGAGCTTTGATGAGATCCTCCACTCTGGCGTCTTCTCTCCTCCTCTTCATCCACTGTCTGATGAGCTCCCTCACCTGCTCCTCCAGGTCCCGGCTGTGCTTCTCCTGTATGCCATCCAGCTGAGTGTCCTGAAGTCCAAGCTTTCTTCCAACTTGACGCCACTTTCTACCCAAACGTTCAACAATTACTTCAGTTGCAATATTTATTTTTTCTATAAAAAAAAGAGAGAGAGAGATGGAAAGCATTTGAATTTGATTAGAATCTGAATAAAACTCTTGTAGAATGAAAACCTTTGAGTGGTTCTTTGCAGGGCAGATTTGGATTGTTTAGTCACTGCATTTGGACACTAAAGTAACAATGGAGTTCACTGCATAAAAAACCAAGCAGCATTGTAAACAAATGATACAAGACCTTTTCTCAGAACTAGCCTCGCTGTAGTTCATCTTTCTTTAAAATAAATGCCACTTTGGTTTCATATAGTGTTACTGAATGTGATGACATTTGTATACTTTGTACTAGTGGTCGACCGATATTGTTTTTTTTTGACAGCCGATGCCGATATCTTGAAAAGCAGGGTGGCCGATATAATTTTATTTATTTTAATTCATATTTAAGAAATTTGAAATCATTTTGAAAATGGATTAAAAATAAATGTGTTAAATAAACATACTTTAGATGACAAAGTATTTTTCACAAATAAATATTTAATAAAAAATATAATTAAAAGTAAACACTAACCAACAGGGCACTCAGTATTCTGGGAAGTTTGTGAGCATTGGGAATCATATTTTTTCAAATAAAGCCAAGGTAACACTCATTTTACATACAGCACACAGTGAAAATTACAAAAAGAGAGAGAGAGATGGAAAGCATTTGAATTTGATTAGAATCTGAATAAAACTCTTGTAGAATGAAAACCTTTGAGTGGTTCTTTGCAGGGCAGATTTGGATTGTTTAGTCACTGCATTTGGACACTAAAGTAACAATGGAGTTCACTTCATAAAAAACCAAGCAGCATTGTAAACAAATGATACAAGACCTTTTCTCAGAACTAGCCTCGCTGTAGTTCATCTTTCTTTAAAATAAATGCCACTTTGGTTTCATATAGTGTTACTGAATGTGATGACATTTGTATACTTTGTACTAGTGGTCGACCGATATTGTTTTTTTTTGACAGCCGATGCCGATATCTTGAAAAGCAGGGTGGCCGATATAATTTTATTTATTTTAATTCATATTTAAGAAATTTGAAATCATTTTGAAAATGGATTAAAAATAAATGTGTTAAATAAACATACTTTAGATGACAAAGTATTTTTCACAAATAAATATTTAATAAAAAATATAATTAAAAGTAAACACTGTAACCAACAGGGCACTCAGTATTCTGGGAAGTTTGTGAGCATTGGGAATCATATTTTTTCAAATAAAGCCAAGGTAACACTTATTTTACATACAGCACACAGTGGAAATGACATAAATATGGCAGTGGGCGAATGCATAAAGCGCAGCATAATTTGAAATCACGAGTTTAAAGTTTGTCGATCGCGTGTCTCCAGTGAAGCTGAACTTTCCTCCTGTTTGCATCCAATTCGCACGGACCGACCGTCACGCAGAGAACACGCGATCATGCAGGATAAATGCACACTTCACAAGATCTCCCAACTGGATCCGACTAAGTTTGAAAGGTTTGAAAAATTAAATGTTCATTAGTCATTCAAAGATTTGTTTAAATGATATAAATCCGTATTTGCTGAATGCTAACGGCAAACAAGAAAGTATTATAATGTTTGCCTTTAATAATATTAAAGCAATCGTTATAATACTTTTTTGTATACATTTTAATTCCTTTGTTTAACCGTTCTATCTGATTATTAGACAGACTTCTAAGTTCTATCCGTATTAGACAGAACTGTTAACGACAACAGCGAAGAGCGAACAAGAGGGAGAATGTGCTGCCATTCTCAGCGCCATCAAAATAAAAGTCCCGCCATGAACGCATCGGCCAAACAGGAAAACTTATCGGCCGATTCCGATATTTAAAAAATGCCAAATATCGGCCGTTATATCGGCCTTGCCGATATATCGGTTGACCACTACTTTGTACAACTGTAAGGTTACATTTACAAGGGAATGTTATACTAAAATGGAAAACGTTTTTCCTTTGTGTTTTTGAAAAGTTTCGCATACAGACGACAACACTGTTAAAACGATCCTCGTTCACACGGATGCACAAAAACGACCAAAACCACTGTATTATGCATGCCAGGCCAGTAGCTGGCGATGTCACTTTGTAAAGAAACACTCCACACCGGCACACATACCTATATACAGGTGCATCTCAATAAATTAGAATGTCGTGGAAAAGTTCATTTATTTCAGTAATTCGACTTAAAACTACTTCAGTCTGTGTGCATTGAAATAATTTAATACACGAGTTTCACAATTTGAGTTGAATTACTGAAATAAATGAACTTTTCGATGACATTCTAATTTATTGAGATGCACCTGTAGACTGATCTCGTAACACGCATTTTTGTAGTTTACATGGAGACAATAACAGT